GCGTATCTTCAACGAGTAAAATATGAGGCCAGCTTCTGATTAGAATGAAAGGATCGACCGAGCACATTGGCGATAACCAGACACCGCCCTAGTCTTGTATATCGTTTAAAGGTTCCGTCTCTCTCTCTCTCCCTCCCTTCCTCCCCTTCTTGCTCCTGCTTTTTCAATTGCTCTTACTTCGTTTCCCTTTTTATTGGTTCAATACGCTGCTGGTTCGTGGGGCGTTTTTATCGACACAACTTCAGTCATTATTGTACTTTTATTACGATCGGATATTTATGGACGCTGGGTGATTACTGTTGTTTTTATTACTACACGACAGATCTACGATGTGGTATGGATGATACTTTCGTTCACTTCTCGTGCTTGACCCATCTATGATTATATCTCAGTTGTTTTAGATAGATACCAAAGTATAGTTAAATCCATATAGCTTATTTATATATTTATAACAGGGGAATAAGCGAAGGTTGAGTGATTTGCTAGCGGCTTGCCTAGTTAATGACTGACTTGCCGAGGCAATAACCGGCGTCGTTGCTACTAATGCCGCTGCCCTGTAGAGCACAGACGCAGCAGAAACTCCGGATGGACGGACGCATCGCTGCGGTTAACATCGTCCCTTCCTTCCGGCGGCAATGGCAGGCATAAGCCCAAGCTACTAGACAAACACAGGGAATCGCTTAACACCCTCAACTTGAAGTCGTCTTTGCCCCATTGGCAGTTATGGCTCGGCGAAACTGCCGACAGTTAGATGGCAGCGACGCTACTCTGCCATCAGCGAATGAATCTACCTACCCAAGACATATCGGATGAATGCTAGACGAAAATGGACAAAAGGGGATGACCGCTACTGACGAGCTCTCACTGACCGGCCACTAAGCCAAAAAAGCGGACAAGACACAAATGCTAAACGTCCACGTCGCTCGAGCCAGTAGCAATAAAGATGAGCCGGCACGCGATAATAGCTACAACGAGGACTTCATAAGGACGCAGACATGAGGAAGATCGACAAATTTGATCGCCACTTTGTAGTCGCATTAGCTTGATCTCTGCAATCGATGACTGGACGAGACCGATGCTGATCACTGAACCCTCTTTTGTTGCGTTTGTCGCATGCGCCACCGCCATTGATGCGGTCTCTCTTATAACCACTGTAGAAGGTATCATAACCGGCAGACCAATTCGGTAATCGTCGCGTCCTATCAGCTGACTGAACAACACGGCTTGCGCTCGTGGCCATTGTGGTACATTATAGTGCACCTGTTAAATAACAGGGACCTCCTGGCACCGTTGCCGTTAGACACATACGGCAAAGACAAACGCGTCTGAGAAAAATGGCTGTGTACATATACAGCGAAGAAAGAGCACCGTCATCATCATCTTCTGATGTTTTATGCCTATTCGAACAGAACGCGAAACACAAACTGCTGAGAGGTTGCGGGCGTAATATAACAAGCTACAGCCAAAGGCCTATAGAAGGAACTGCAATGATGGCTCGAACTTGTATTACCTCTGCCTACCCGCTCGTTACCCACTCCTTCCTAACGTATAATATAGCATTCAGCCGGTAGTTGCATCGCTGTTTGAGTAATATTAGCTACGAAAAAGAAAAAGGAATTTGGGAATTCGGTTCCGGTTGGGCATTGCTAATATCCATATATATATATATATATATATATATATATATATATATATATATATATATATCTATCCATATATATACACGTATTGAAATCGATTGCGGATGAAATGGTGTAGTGGTAAAACGTTGACTTGAGCAATGAATACATGCGGGAGTGGAAACACTCACGCGGGGTTGGCGGCCGGATCGCAGGTTGGTTTAGCGGGCGCGGACACTTCTTTGGTCTGCATTTCGGATGGTAACGTTATAGCCATATCTGTCACAACCGTGCCACAGTCGATATCGAGCACCAACATAGCCAATAGGAATAACAACGGCACAAGAGTAGGCAGGATCGTCACAATTGCAACGCCAATGAAAATGCGATGCAGCGCTGAAAGAGACGAAGGTGCAGTTTGCTTTTAAGGAAATCATCATCGAGGAATAGTGTAATAGCGCTGTACTGCCTGGAGGAACAGGGATCAATCAAAGGGAGTGCGCTTGTCATTTTGGTAACGAAAAGAAAGCGGAGAAAAGGAGGAACAACCAGCAACAGGAGCATCTAGTGATGGTCACGGATCATGATATTAGCAGGGATGCTTGGATTATTGTAGGAATCAATGATGCAGGAAAGGATTGACTGGACAAATGGAAGTGCATTACACCATACGGATGGCTGGATGGGGGCCCAAACAGATGCAATCGGTAGGTAAACCTAGAGCAAAGTAAGTAACGCTACAATGCATAGTTTTGTACCAACTTTGGCAGATGTAATAATATAATAGTACCCTATGTTTAGAGTTGGGTACAAATAACTTTGTATTCTACATACGAATATGATAACGTCCCCGCTAACCAAGTTAAAGAAGTAGGGCTTAGCATCCGCTATAGTCGCATACATGTACGTATGTTTTATTACTAACGTTTATTACTATCAGACAGTTAGGAGACTAGCGATGCACGCATATTTATGCTCAGGATACCAAATGTTTTGTTATTACTGTTCTGTCGTCCGTACACGTACTGCGTATGTAAATCGGTTAGCTTTTTCGTAAATTTTTTCAACGCCATGTTATAGTTTTCAGAGAAATTTAATCTGTTTAATGTTAGAGCAGCAACGTGGAAACGGCAGCGCCTGTATGGATTACAGCTAATAGCGATTGGCTATGAATTTACACTCATGCACAACAGACGAACGTATCTGGTGGCCGTACGAAAGTCAGCATCAAACATGTTCCCATCCACTGTTTACTACGTGTCTGTCGATTTTCGCGCATCCAATCATCTGGATCATTCATCAACGATGTCGCCGTCACTACACCTAGGCTTCTCCATGACTGCCGGCCCAGTCGGCCAGAGCAGTATACAATACGACGTGTGTGTTATTGCTAGACGACGACGATAGCAGCAACAGTTGAATTATTTTGGCGAGAGCTAGTGACTGAAAGGTATGACATGGATCGCACAGGTGTCCTCCACCAGGAGATGCAAGCCTGATAGGCGTATGTATAACGGCTGCCGTGTGACCAGCTGTGATCCGATCTGTCGGCTCCTAAAACATTTTACAACCACATAACTAAAACGGAGCGGACTGTAACAGCAGCGAATACAGATCAAAGTCAGTCAGGCAGTCAGTCATCCTGTAGCAACCAAAAGGGGCAACGATAACTGGCGATAATATGGCAACTAAGGTAGAGCAGTTAACGATTTTTGGCTAGGCAAGATCATCGGCTGAGCCTTGATTAAAATGGGGCTTTTATTGGCTCTGGTGATGGTTGGATTTACGTGTTGGCGTACAGTGCTAGGTTAATAAATAAACTGTTAATAAATAATCACCGTTCTATTCACTGTTAATAAATAAATACACCGTCGTTCATATATTATGTTCGCTTGTTTGCGTTCGCTTACTGGCATGATGCAAACAGACGAATAAACCTTATGTTAAGTAATACGTTTAGGACAGATGGTAATTACTGGACAAATTTAAGAGATGGAATATGTGCGTTCTTCAGCATAGGATGACATGTTAAGGAAAAAACATAGACTAATTCTGTAAGAAATGCATGCTGTGTGGCAATGATCAATAGTGCCAGCGACGTGCTAACCCGATAGAAAGTAATTAGTTGTTTGGGTAGTTGATTGCAAGTTCTAGTTTACTATCATACAAATAACACGAAATAAAGGAAACTTTAGGTTTAATAGGTTAAACTGGGTTTAATAGATTATTGCTATTGTTGACGTGAATTCAACAAATAGGCTTTGAAAATAGGGATAAATTACGCTTAGAATTTGACGTGTCCTACTCCTTTTTGATATCCAAATACGATGTACTCTTATAAGAAGTCTCCAAAGAAAGCATCCAACTTTGCCTTCTATGAGAGACATTGACTTCGTGGAACCAAGGATCAGTCAGGCCAGTGGAGCCATAACGAGAAATCTGTAGGAATCGAATATGGAAAATGTACTATTATACTCATCGATAGGTTGATCGAATTGTGTGGAAGTTACCTTACCTAATATGTTTTAAACCAGACCTTGATACTAAACCATCGCAGACATGCGTAGGTAAGCTAACAGGATACAGAGAAACGATGAAAAGTCAATTGTATTCATAATAGACATTTCTATTTCAAGTTTCAATCATTTTATCCCATTTACTTTCATCCACGTCTATATATATATATATATATATATATATATATATATATATATATATATATATATATATATATATATTTAAGTCTGCACAATGGATGCTTCTTAACTTATGCAACTCATGGATTAGCGAGTCTAATAATTGTATAGCGAAAATCCAGCTACTCGTTTAATGCAAACTGGCAAACGCCGCAATGAAATTTCTAGCAGAACAAAAACTTATCGAAGAAAAAAACGAGCCTGGGAAATATGTACAGTTTCCCAGTAGACACACAGGGATTATTATCAGCGTGGCAAACCGGGAAACTTTCAGGACGTCTTTTGGATGCACAGGATGAAATAACAAACTTTAGTCTAATCCTTTAATTTTGTTTTTCAGCCTTCCATTAAACAGTCGAAAGAATCCCAGTACGCAAAGCTATTTCTTTAAAAAACCGTACTGACATTGGTCATACGTACCACGTAAGAGATATAAAAAAATAAGCAAATATAAGTCAAAGTTTTTCACTTGCAACCGTAAATTTCGCGTGTAAATGCGTAATCGAACGCACGGTAATTAGGTTATTGAACAGCGAGGCTAACTTGATCTATGCTGCTTACGACAATGTCATATGCGCAAACAGAGTTATCTGCTTCTTTGTTTAAAATATACATTTATTGGAAAATTTGTTTGAGGAAGTGCTTCAGCGTACTGAGCTGCCAACATGGCAGCGATTCATACCTTAATATGGGTTTATTGCCTTAGAAAGTTGATCTCAACTGGGGGTTTTAAAAGCTGGAGCCTTACTTGTTGTTAATCCAGAGGCGTATAGTTAAGTACTCATCGAGCATTCCTGCTCAGCTTAGGATAAGAGTTTCTAATCATCGCAAGAAAAGCCAACATTTCTATTCTGCTCGTTGAGTCGCTAACAGTTAAAGCTAGTTAAAACCTAAAAGTGTGGCGCCCCTTTGTAGTGCGAGAATCCATGACCGCGAAACGCCGCGTATTTTGCCATGGCTGTGTATGTATAGCGAAGAGTGCGATTTATAGATGCCATCGTTAGCTGCTATTGAGTATTTGCCCAATATCGGGGTCAGCAAAGATTTGAGACATTTGGATTGAAGTTGAAGATTTCTAGATGAAGCCTAGAAGACCTAACGGACCGCATCGAGTCTGCCTTTGTTATAGGCGGAGCCGCGTCGAAGAGTCCATGATCAGGTACGTAGATGTCCGTTATGTCAGTAGACTGTAATTGCTATGAAACCAAAGGTTTACGCATTTTACATAAACTAGATCGCCGAGCTACTACAATATATACACATAGTGAATTATAAAAACTGCTACCTTAGGCTATCTATCTTTGGATTTATATTATCTTGGCATAAAATAACAAAATCATAAGGGTTTAGGATTATACTTAAACAGCAAGGAAAGAAAAGCGTTGTTGAGCAAAGTCACACCTATTTGACACTTATTCTCTAACTACTTGCACACGACAAATAAAATGTTATATATATATATATATATATATATATATATATATATATATATAGGTCTCGGACTTTTGCTTATTCTACATTGGAGTTGCTACCAAATGTTGAACTGAATCATGTGCACGCTCGTCTCCTATTTTAAGTAAACACAGCTCATCTTTCTTTGACTCGATGGTTCATTGCGCCTATTCCAGTCGCGAAAATGAGCTCTACTCGGTTGAATAAACTACTTTTACGCTGTTGATCCCCCAGAACGACTAATTTAATAGAGTAACGGATTACTGCCATCCCATGTCCTTACCTCAAATATCTTACGGAGTGCTTGCTATATCATAGAAAGACGTCAGTTTCCAGTACACAAGAAATGATAATTGTTTTTTTTTATTTCACCGCCATTACCATGACAAATAATTAAATCTGCGCTGCGTAGAATAACTGTGATCTTACATGCTTTGATCGAAAGATTAATCAAACGGAACACAGATGCCCCCATTGGCGTCCGGAATACTGCCGTCTGGTCGCAAAAGATACAGAATCGCTTTTATCTCCAACTGAATAAAAAGATTTTTTTTGATGATGTCCTGTTATAGTGCATTAAAAAAAAATGATTAATCATTGAGACGAATGTTAAAAGTGGTTATACTAATGCACTGAGCAAAGAATACTTTGCCAGAACCTTCAGGACCACTTTTAAAAATGGATGTAAAAGATTTGACTGCAGAACTTGACCAGTTCTGAAAGATTACACCATTATTTTGTATCAGCTAAATATAGTATGATTTCTTTTAGATATAATAAAACAATCCAAAATAGAGTGTTATACTGAACTAAGCTTGCTTATTGTGAAGAAAATGCTTATGAAAACTTACGTTGAGATAAAAACAGCGCCAATTTGGCTGCTAAAAGTAATATTTCTAAGAACAAGTTAATAATAATGCGCCAACATAAAAAGTCATTGTATTGATATGAAAAGCTCTAAACAGTCATTAGCAAAAGGAAAAACAAAGACTAATGTGATAAAAAACTTACCACTTTTTTTTCGATGGCCTATTTTCTTATAGTTCCATCCGGGATAATCTAATACGTTGTGACTGCGAGGTTGTTTCGGATATTGCACAATGCACCACGGTTCTCGTTTTATTGACTCCTGGTATTTTCGAATTTATTGACGATAACAAGGTAAGAGTGCATTGAAAGGCCTGTAATAAGAGTTAGGCATTCGTAATGCTTATTCAGTATTGAACCCCTGGTCTATATTTGTACTTCATGTTTGATTAAAATATTGTGTATTTTTAATATTATGTTTTTTTTCTTTTATATTTCATTTTAACTATGACACACACATCAGCTAACCCATTCAACAGCGTATACAGCTTGTATAGTCGATAGCGCTTTTCCAGCTGTCTTCCATATTTTGTTATTTTAAAATTAATTCCTTTTTGAATTAATTAACTTCTCGCGTATCCTATGTTATCTTAACCACTAACGTATAAATGAATGATTTTTTATTAGGACCCAGTGCGGACGCAGTTATCGTACGCTCTTCGGCGCCTCTCACATGTTTCAGAGTCCCATTGCAACGAGACGCAGCACGCGCAGCTCATTGCCATTAAGTGCGACCTTTTCCATTGGCCAAAGCTTGATCTCCTGCCTGAAGATATCAGGGCGCTATATACGTGCAACGCCGTAAAGTTAGTATACTAGGTTACTTATTAATATCTATACTCTTTTGTTGCATAGAAAGGGCATAAACGGTAGCAATTTATAGAGAGTGACACACTTACGATTACTGCTAACATTTATAAAATATTGCAAAGATCCTTAGTCTAAAGTTTCTGCCTAACTGCATTTAGTCCATGGGTTTAGGTAGACAGTATGTTATGATTAAGAAGTGCTAAGCGGCGTCGTCAGTATTATAAAGTGTGTTTCGGGAACACACGCAGTATTTCGAAGATACAAGGTTAGATCGTGGGGAGGCTAGATAACCGGCAACGGCACAAATGCAAATATATCTCTACTTAGAGTCGGGAGTACCAAAGCGATAACATTGCAGACATTGTGATTAAACGTAACGATATGAAAAAGAGTAGATTACGAAGATAAATAGACAAAGCTGATTTTTTCGAGTACGAATTAAGCTCTACATTGTTCGCTCGTTTCATAGGAGAGACAATAATAGTAATGGCTATTTAGTACTTGTGTAGACGTTACTCTCGGATACTTAGAGACTGATAATTCCCCATTTTTCTAATCTTTGAAACAATGCAAAGTTAGCAATTTTCTAAATGCTATAAGTAAATTTAACAGCTATGGCACTTGTCTATCAATTGTGCGTGTGGCGTTAATCCTATGAGTGAATATTTGCTGAATCCCGCACTCTTCCGCTGCGCTCTTTCAATGAGGATGACATATTACCGAATAGTCTAAGGGCTTGAGCATTCTAAGGGAAGCCACCCACAATGGCGTCTAGTGGTTAGCATTTTTGATAACATAATGAAGATTGTACCTCTTAAAGAGGGAATTTAACAACCTATATAAAACGTCTGCCCAAATCTAAGAAAGAGATTATTACAACGTTTAACACCCGAATCCCAAAAATGAAGTCACAATTTACACCAGCCACACATCCAGACGATGCTTTACTATCATCGATTTAAAACTTACACATTTTTGAAGACTAGTGACTGTGTAATAAACATGTACAGGTCTACGTGTTTCTTCCGATTCACGTACAAAGTCCAGTTTCGTTTCGTTCCAATTAATTGGGTCGATCGTTGTCTAAAAAGCCCCCTTCGAGCTAAGTACATGACTTGAAGGGAAATACATGCTATTGTTCGTTTTGTTCGCGTTTGTTGAGGACCTAAATATTACGACTGTATTGGCTTCTATAGCCTCATAATTCCGTTTTAAATCAAATCCCTTTTTTAAAAGACGAGAAAATCAGTGGTATAAATCCGTCATTTTCAATGACCAGGTTATAAATAGTTATTATCATGACTAGAGTAATATAAATAATAATTCTATTGATATAATAGAATGACTACCTATACAATTGTAGTCCTCCACCAAACCAAAAGACAATTGATCACAAAAAGGTTAGCGAAGTAAAAGTTGATTGAGCGTCTACTTCTGATAGGAGCATCCTAGTCTAAATTAAGCAGATTTAAATAATCTGCTATATCGAGATCCTATTCAATATAAAATACACATATAACATAAAAAAAACGACAGATAGGCTAGCCATTTGGTATCACAATTGACTTCGCAGTTGCAGTTACTCGGATAACAACACAGAAGGTTTGTAAGTATATATAATCATCGACAGCAAGAGTTTCCACACATAAACGAAGCTCTGTATGCCAATATTCAAGGGTCTTTCTATTAGAAGCCTTCTTCACTTCTGGGTTAAGCTGTTATTTAGAGGATGAACTTACGTAGATGAATTTTTGGGTTGTTATTAATATAGATCAGTTGAACGTAATAGGAGATTTGGAAAATACCAATTAAATGGACAGTCACTCGGAAACAAAATGCAAAACAGAGTATTCAGAAAGCGTTTGATGCGCGCTAGACTTTCGTACACTACGGGAATTGTGAATAATATAGCCATTTCAAACTTTGCGGTGGAATATCTCATCCTTAACAAGAACCTGTTCAGGAATAAAAACGGTCGACTGCGTTTCGGGTCGTATCCTCGTTGATTAGCATAGTCCCCCTATAGTTACAGCGGTATGTAAACAACTGTTTGGATTGACCCAATTGGGATCGATAAATAAAGAAACTGCATAAGAATGCCGCTGCGATGTAACCATAAGATCTTGCCTGAGAGGGGGGCAAGGTGACCTTCCTTTGCCTGGGTTAAGAGCTCAAATGTAGATAAATGCATTCTTGTACTAAGAGTGGCCCAGAAGTTACTACGGATGATTGGCACTGGGATCTATGTATGCAACGCTACCGCTTTTACTAGTCCTGAAATAGGCTTTTCGCCTCGGAATATGAACACTTGCTTCCTAGGTAAGCGTCTGAAGAACGACGATTGCCTAACTGCTTTACTGCATTGTAGATATACGGCAATGATAACAATAGCATTGTGATGCCCAGGTCCATATACGGGACCTTATTGATTTTCTCTTGAAATTCATTACTTCAGATATAATTTCTCTCTGTTGTTGATGGTCTTCATTATGAGCTACAGGTATTCTGCAAATTTTCCCTAAAGTATAACATAGTACTTTCGGTCAGGTTTTGTCGGTTCGTCACTGATGCTGAATTTACTATTAAAACGAGTCATCTTGGTGTGTGGCCGACACAGGCAAGACAAGAAATACGATAAATTATAATATGTCAGATTACGCTTGACGGTAAGATTTATTTTCTCAAATCTGTCGAAACCTTGTCGAGGGCTAGATAATCTGTCCTTTCCTATACTACTGTTACCTGTTGTTGAGTTACCGAAGACAAAGTATTACGACGTAGGCGCTGCAATTGCCGAATATTATTGATGATATTGCAAAGGTTTTGCACGTCCGTCACCTTCTAATCTGTATAGGTGTATTGCTGATTCTTACTTTAATTAGTTATTTATTTAAAATGTTTGCCCCATTTTTTTTAGCATTAATAATTGCCATTTTAAGAGCCATGACTAATGAGCATGAGTGTATCGCCCTAGAGTCTGTGTGGCAGGTTAGCTGAGGCGTAAAAAGGTTTATATATATATCCCAAATGATCTTCAGAGTAGTGTAAATATTGTTACAGAATAGCAAATCATGGCATAATAATTGTTCCAGGTGGAGTCTGGAGAATCGAGATACGTTCCTAAAGCATCTCTTAACTCAAATTGATCCAGAACTTGTGCAATCTCGCAGTCTACCTATGACATCAAAGGAAAGTTTTTTTCCCTTTTGCTGACATTCCAAAGGCTTTATATAAATTCTCAACTCGAAGAGGTTTGATTTGATTAAGGCATTGCCTGTGATGATGTGTTTATGACTGTAAGTTATTAGAGTAGATTTAAAATTTTCTAAAGAAGACAATTAGGTCATCTTGGTAAGCCTATCTTATTTTTTCAGTGATTGGGTAACTCCAGAAAGTAACATAAGGCTGTAAAGTAACGGCTCCAACGCAGCGTAATAGCTTTTAAGTTTTCTTTTAATGATTTTTTGGATACAGTCTGCTCAGGAAGTACATATAATCGAACTCTTTTTAACGCTTTTTTGCTCTAATAACACTAACAGGATCCACAAAGGTAGGAACGTAAAAAATGACGCCGTAGGAATGTTTCCATCGTCTAGGCTTAGTCGCACGGCGGTGCCCTGGTTGTGAAGGTCATTGACGCTATCAAAATCAGATATAAATACAAATAATGCCATTCATAGTGCCGTTATATTCGACAACATAATACTGGTCCTAAATAGTTCAGTTGATTTCACCGGTTTTAATTGTACGGATTTAAACAGTTCTGTTTGATACGCGACGCGGGGCTAATACCGTAAAAACTATCTTAAGGCGATCGTTAACCTACGAAGAGGGAACGACTAAATAGTGAAAGCATTCGATGTTGCGATTGTTGTGCCCTTCTGATTTACGAGTTTCCGTGCAGAATCAGTATGTAAATCGTGCGGATTATACCTGTTTAACGATATCTAAAGGAATAGCTAACTAATCCTTACCAACCAACCATCTCTATACAGGCGAAGGGAAGCGAAGTTCAAAATATCACGTCAGCAACCATCGTTAATTCAAATGTGTCACATAAACAGGTATGTGTTTAATCACTCATATTCATTGCTTCTATTTTATATATATACACAAAACAGAAAAGTTCGAGATTGAGTACGATGTATTGTTTTGCTAGTAACTTGCATTCATCACCGTCTATACCCCCCCCTCCCCCCAATTGTAAAGACGCGGCGCATGAACTTGTATTGCGCAGTCTTTAACTGTTCGATTCGATTGAAGAGTACGCGCCTAAAACGTCTGCTTCCCAATCAAAGTAGTTTTATAGTGCAGAAAACAGAGCAGAACGCTTTGGCCGCTCCACACGTCGGCAAAGTCGTCTGACATTAATTGCGATGGAGTACAAAACTGTGAGCATAACTTACATCTTTTCATATTTATGTTCTATAGTATTAGTAACGTGACAAATGGGAAAGACAGACATCATAAAACGTTCAGTAAAATAGGGAATGCTAAAGCTATTTCTTACGGATCGGGCTATCGCTATATAACATTTTTACATCTATTAACTAAAAAGTTGTCATTAACGTCGTAGGCTAAAATCAACGATGATGAGTATAAGTCAGATCATGAAAAATCCTTGGTTTGCCATGACTCAGCATTTTACATGAACGCACACGTCTCATGGGAAACACTTCCAAGTCAACCACGTAAGTTGATCATAAAGTCTCTCTCGACTATCATTGTCGCTTTTATAGGTTCGGGCGGTGGGGTTTCTGCTCAAGGTGTCATAAACCAATGGTTCAGACTTTGCCCAGGAACAGATTACATGCATATTATATATAACTGATATGAGCATAGAAATTAAACATTCTTGACTATAC